GGATGGATACGGATGGGCTCACTGGAGACCAACCTTGGAAGGAAGAGAGGATGGGCCCAGAAGAAGCTGGAGAAGGTTGGGCTTGGAGGGAGTTGGTGAGGTCTGCAGAAGGGGAGGGTGGGAGCGAGGGAGGGAGAGAGCAAAAAGAAGGGAAGGATGGATGAAGGAAGGAAAGAAAGAACAGAAGGAGAAAGGGAGGAAGGGAAGGAGGAAAGAAAGAGGAAGGAAGGAGGATGGAGAAAAAGAAGGAAGGCGGCAGAAGGGAAGGAAGGATCATAGAAGCAGGAGTTAAGAAACAAAGGTAAATATTTTTAAATCTAATTTACACCTGCACCACTCCCTCCAGCTCTCCATTTCCCTCCATCTTTGTGAATCCTTCCACCCCATCCTTCTGCGGCCTTGGGTTCGAAACTCCCTCTCTCTCTCCCTTGCTCCCACCCTCCCCTTCTGCAGACCTCACCAACTCCCTCCAAGCCCAACCTTCTCCAGCTTCTTCTGGGCCTATCCTCTCTTCCTCCCAAGGTTGGTCTCCAGTGAGCCCATCCGTATCCATCCTCCCCCCTGCTTCCACGCTCTTCCTTTCCAACCCGTTCCTCCCTCCCTTGGGCATTCACGTTCTCCCGGCACCCACTCGATCTTGAATCAACCCTTCTTGGTTGCGTGAGCCGCTTCGGAAATGGCCCATGCCCACCGCTTCTCAGTCACTCAGCTGTGACATCCAGACAGCCAAGTGGGCGCAGACCCACTCTGACGTGAATGTCTAGGGCAGAGGGGGGGGGGGGTTCCTACAGGTTTGGCCCGGTTTGGCCGAGCCAGTAGTAACTTGGCGGCCTGGGTCGCGGGAACCGGCAGCGGCCCAGGCCTGCCACGCCCGCGAACCGGTTCTCCCCTGGCGCCACCATCTTGATTTTCATTGCAGAAACGTATTTATTTGTTATCTTTTTAATTTTTTGAAGGTTTCGCACATGCGCTGACCTTTTTACTTGCAAATGTGCACGCGTGTGTGTGAGCGAAGGAAGCATGCACGCACACAATCTTTGCTCGCACTAAACCGCCAGTCATGCCGGCAGCAACCCACCACTGGCCTAGGGAGATTCTCAGTCATCCAGGTCATTTTTGTCCCGCAGGGGGCTTCCCCCACCCCACTTCGAATGGCCTGGGAGTTTGAACGGTATCCAAAGTAAAATCGCAGGCTAAAGGAACAGTTTGCACCACTCAGGTGGCCCTGAGGACACAGGTAACTCTCCAAGTGGCCTCAATGACCCTCTAAAAGGATGCAAATGACCAGCTATCTACAAGGAGTATCAATCCTTCCATCTTCCACCATTTAGTCAGAGCTGAAGAAGCTTCTTGGTAAGAAGCGAAACGTATTTAAAGACACAAATAAACCTCCAAGTGGCCTCAACGACCCACTAAAAGGATGCAAATGACCAGCTGTCTGCAAGGAGTCTCAATCCTTCCATCTTCCACCATTTAGTCAGAGCTGAAGAAGCTTCTTGGTAAGAAGCGAAACATATTTAAAGACACAAATAAACCTCCAAGTGGCCTCAACGACCCACTAAAAGGATGCAAATGACCAGCTGTCTGCAAGGAGTATAAATCCTTCCATCCCCCACCATTCGGTCAGAACTGATGAAGCTTCTTGGATGAGAAGCGAAATGTCTTCAAAAGAAAAACCTCCAAGTGGCCTCAACGTCCCTCTAAAAGGATGCAAATGACTAGCTGTCTACAAGGAGTAGCAATCCTTCCATCCTCCACCATTCAGCCAGAGCTGAAGAAGCTTCTTGGNCCCGAGTCGCCCCTTTTGTCTTAACTGTTCTTATCATCTGGCAGCTCTGCGCATGCACACACTGGGAACAGGCTCCCCCTGTTCCTCTGCCTCACCGATGTCAGACTCCGGAGGCAGCACATAACTCCCAGATGGCCCTGGCCCCCTCTCTGCCTCCAACGCAGACCCCTCGTCCGAGCCTTCCCCAGACTCCAGGACTGGCCCATGTTCCTCCCCAACCCTCCTCACTGTCTGACTCTGCTGCCACCTCCGCAGGCCGCCGGCGGGCCATAACACCCACTAAACTCATCTGGAGTGCCAGTTGGTTAGTTTCTCTCCTCCTGATGATTTTTCTACTTTTATACACAGGTATTCCTCGACTTAGCGACAGTTCATTTAGTGACCAAAGTTACAGCAGCACTGAAAAAAAGCGACGTAGGATCGGGTTTTTTTACACTTAATGACGGTTGTAGCATCCACGTCGTCACATGATCCAAATTGTGGCGCTTGCCAACTGGACATGTATTGACGTTGCAAATACGTGCAACCAGGATTTTTGATGGTGTGACCGTAGGGATGGAGAGCTGGTCGTAAGTGTGAGGACCAGTTTTGAGTCCCCCTTTTTTTTTGTAACTTCAAGGGGTCACTGAATAAATTCTTGCACGTTGAGGACTCTGTCATGTTTATATGTTTTGTTTTTGCAAATTAAAATGTGTCCCCAACACTTAGAAGAAAACCATTGGTCCCCAGGATTCACCGTTTTTGTGTCTCTCTTGAAGTTTGGGTTAATTCAGTTGGTTTTTGTTTAAAAAATAAAAAATAAGAATTTCACTAATTTGGAATTCAGCTGGTTAAGTCTTGGCATGAACATTTTTTTTCCCGTTTCCTAAATTCAGGAGAGTTAAAACTGATTTAACCCAAAATCTTAATCGGACCCAACTCTGAAATCTTTTAACTGAATTAAATGGGCAGCAAGCAGCCAGAGAAATAAAAGACTGCCAGATGTTAAAAGGGGGGAGAAAATAATATTAACTAAATTTGTGCCAGGAGGTGGCAATGCAGAGCAGGGTTTGAATTGTGCCTTTCGCTTCCCCAGCCAAAACTCCCTTAAAAACAGAGAGATTTATACAGGGAGTCCTCAACTTACGATGTTTCGTCTAGTGACAGTTCAAAAGTGACAACTGCATTAAATTTAGGATGACCATTTTTCAGAGTTATGACCTTTGTATGATCATGTGATCAGAATTCAGACGCTGGGATTGATACCATAATGGAAGATAACATACGTTGCAAAGATGATTGATATTATTGCATATTTGTTAAATACATTATCACTTATTTGTTTTTATATACATACATACGTGTGTGTGTGTGTGTGTGTGTNTATAAATTACAAGAGACAAAGGATGACCTTGACTTTCTAGAAAGAATGTTGTTATGGCTACATAGCATCTAACTCTGTACAACCCTCCCTCCCATTTTCCCACCATAGAAAATGCCTAGTAGAAGAATAGAAAGTGTGGAAGGCCAAAGACCCAAAAGAAAAAAATGGCTGCAGGCCTGATACTCAGAACTTGGATTTTTTTCAGACGTTTCATGATCTGACCACGGAACATCATCAGAGCTGGAAGGGAGTGGCGTTATATAAACAGGAATCAAAGTGCAGTTCCTTCTAGCACTGATAATGTTCCCTAGTGGGGTCACGAAATGTCGGCAAGAAAATCAGCACGCTTAGAAGGCGCCAAGGACCTGACAGTACTGGTCCTCCTTTAGGGCTCAGCTGTGGCTATGCATTGAGGATTGATTACCCGTAGTAGATGAACGTTGATGAAAAGGAACGCCCTCCCGCTTTGATAATTGAATTAAAGTATATTTGTTCCCGTTTCCAGCCGGTTTGGCGTTCGATCTCAGCGAGCCTTCGGGAGACATGTCCTCGGCTTGGGCGCAACATGTGACCAAGATGGTAGCCAGGAGAGGCGCCATCCTCTCTCAGGATGTCTCTGTCACACCTGTAGCCACGCCAGGTAATGGTTCTCTTAGAGGTTGGGTGGGCAGGAGGTCAGGCTGGGCTGTCAAAAGAGCTCGAATGGCACCGGAAGCTGACCTTTTTTGGGGCAATGTAGCATTCCATCCATTGGTGTCCATTCTATCTTGACTCACTGCTGCCGGCTGCTGGCCAAACACTGGAAATACAGGTAGTCCACCTGTAATGAATACTCCTGGGTTGGAAAGTTTTGGGATACAGAGGGACATTCCTCTGCTTTCTTCAGGGAAGGGGTCACCTGGAAAGGTCACCCCTCCAGAGGGTGTGTGTGTGTGTGTGTGTGTGTGTGTGTGCGCGCGCGCATTAGAGAAAGAGAGGGAAGGAGGGAGAGATTTTGTCTCGGCAAATAGGCAATGCCTGGACAAAAACTAAATTTGATTTCCTTTATACCAGGGTGGAATGAAAATTAACTGTGCAGGTAGTCCTCGGTTTACGACCACAGTTTGAGACCAGAATTTTGTTGCTAAACCAGACAGTGATTAAGTGGGGTTTTCTCTCCCCCCCTCCCCCCAGTTTAAAACTTTTCTCACCACGGTAAGTGAACCGCTGCAGGTGTCAAGTTAGTAACCTGGTTGTTACGCGAATCTGGCTTCCCCATTGGCTGGGCTGGTCAGAAGGTCAGGAAAAAGGGGATCACATGATTCCAGCGACATTGCGACCGTCGTTAATATGAACCCAATTGCCAAGTGTCCGAAATTTTGATCGTGGTGACCATGGGGGAGACTGCAATGGTCGTAAGTGTGAAAAACAGTCCCGTCCCTTTTCTTAGGGCTGTTGTAACTTCAAACCGTCACTAAACAAACGAAGTATTTACTTTTATTATTGTAGTAACTTTCCCCAGAGTTTTCCCCATTCTCCTC